ATCTGGTGAAGATAAGGAGGACCCCAGCTTAGGGGAGGTGGGAGGGAAGGGGTGTGTGGGGAGGGGGGGCAGTCAACGCCCCCTGTGGTGAGGGAGGGGGTAGGGGCAGGCACTGCCCAGCTGGGGCAGGGTGGGCCCGGGACAGAGCCACAGCTTGTGGGGCAGGGGCAGCTTCTGCTCCTCCTTGCATGTAGGGAGGGCGGGGGGGGCGGGGTGTCTGCCCCCGGATCTTGGCAGCACAGGGCAGGCTGCAGCTACGGGGTAGAGAGTCAGAGCTGGCGCTGCGTGGGGCTTTTCTCACCAGGCACTCAAAGCAGGCTCCAGCAGTGCTGGGAGGAGGCTGCAGCCACCCCAAATTTCACCACAGCTCCGCTCCCAGCCCTGTGCTGCTGTCTGCTGCAACCCTGGCTTTTCCGGGCACTTGGGTGGAGGCGGGGCATTCAGCCAGGGCTACACCAGGCAGCGGACACAGACGTGGGGCTGGGAGTGGAGCTGTGGTGAAATCTGGAGTGGCTGCGGCTCCTCCCAGCGCCCCCAGAGCCCACTCCAAGCCCAGCCCCCAGCAAGAAAAGCCCAGTGCAGCGCCAGCTCCAGCTCCCTCTGCACTGCGCAATCCAAGGGCATGCCCACCCCCCCGGGTGTAAACAGCAGCTGGAGCTGCTCCCACCCCATGAGCCGTGCCTGTCCGGCATCCTGCCCTGGTCAGCACCTGCCCCTGCCCCCTCCCTCACCATGGGGTGCATTGATCTGCCCCCTCACGGCCCTTCCCTCCCCACTGGACTTACCACCTGATGGCACCTGTATAGGATATCAAATCAGTATTGGCTCCTTAAATATTGGTTATTGGTATCAGCCCCAACAATCTCTTAATGGTGCACCCCTACTAAACAAGGAATACTCTTTCAGAGCACCAAAAGGATAGCCATTCCACAGATACAAATATATCCTCTTATGATTAAGTAAAATTTACAGTTGAGAGAAATGCTAGCTAAGATCAGAAATAACCCACCACCTATTACAAGAATATCCTCTGCATGAGTGGAATAGCTGAACCCCAGGTTTCCTCTCTCTCCTCTTCTATCAAAGAATAGGGCTGTTGGTCTTGCTGGACAGCTCCTTCCTCTGTTACCACACAAATGTCCCTTGTTCCTCCCTGTAAAGGGCTCTCTCATATAAACCTCCTCCACTGGACTGAGTACCTTTTCTTTTGCCCTGTTGACCCCTTCCTTGTTTTAGTTTTCAGCCCCAGACTCCTGTCTGCTTCATTTCCAAGAGGAAACTGTAGCTCCATGGTTGGACATGGTTGGGTACATAAAATTGGTGTTTGAATAAGGTGTAATCTGCACATCTTACTTCCTACCACGTTCAAATTTTAAAGTTTAACTGAATCGCTGGTGCCCAGATTCAGGCACTTTTAGGAAAAGCTGCTCACTCTCTGTTATTTTAAATATAAAACCGTGACTATCTCAATGGTAGTTTTGTATATTTAAGAGGACAGTTACCTTAAACTTCCTAAATAATAGTACTTATTTTGTAACCGGGGAGACCTTTTCTCATCTGATTTTGGGCAGGACAATTCTTTGCATCTCCCCCCTTCCTTTCACCAGTCTCACTATAACCAACCCCACTCTGTTTTGTTCATATCTTTCATACCAAAGAAGAGGAAAAAACCCAAAACACCTTTCATGCAGCCTTTATTAATTACTTTTTACTTATGCTACATTTCACTGGAAAAGAATTAAACCTGTTTACTAAATACAATTCTGAAGGCAGAGTATAAACTACATTTACTTCCTCTGCACACATAATGGCAGAATTTGGTACGATGGTTAGCTTTAAAAAACACCACCCATATAAAGCAATCCCCAATTCTCTATCCTCCAATACTCTCAGGTCTGTCATCACTCCTGTTGCAAACAACAGTATTTGATATTAATGACCTCTGTAACTGTAGAACTCAATCATATCATATATACAAATCAACAAATTCCACAAAAGATTTCATTCCAGCTCTCACTTCTATGAGCATCATACTTTTTAATCAATTTAAGTTAGTCATCCAGATATTTCTCACATTTTTAGGGAAAACATCCAGGCACTATAGCAGGATATGCACCTTTTTACTGTTTTCATTATTTTAGTTTATGTGATTGCATTTGTTCCCAACATTAAACTCAAGTTTTTAATCAGATAAATTAACAACTATTAAAATATATCCCCTGATGTCACAGTGGGGAGAACAGGTTATACCTCCTTGTTACTTGGTTTTATCATCTAATGTTGATAGCATAACATACGATAACATAAATTTGCTATTTTTGCTATAAAAAAATTATAAAAAAAAAACAATCTCTGAACATGTTTAACAAAATAATGATGCCAAAAAATTACTTACTACAGACTGAAAATATTCTGGTGAGAGGCCTTCCAATTCAAGAATTTTATCTTCAAGTTTTTTAATTCTCTGATAAATGTCTCTAGGTACCGGACCTCCTAAATGTAACAATCCACATAGGAAGAGTCAGGAAAGCATCTGCATTATTACAAACTTTATAGCACAATCTGAATTCACCTACCAACCAAGTAATAAAAACAGAGGGGAAAGGTAACTGACATAGCCCAGGGCAATGTCCCTTTAAGAGGCCAAACTGCATGCAATTGCTGAGATGTCTAACAAGGTGCTCCCTGGGCCCCCCTCTAGCTCTGGAAGAGTAAGGAGATTTGCCTTGCTTGCATGGGGGGGGGGGGGGG